ACTTTGTTTGATTAGGTTCGCTGGCCTTGTCAAAGCGAGTTTCTTTAACAGAACGAACGATCACGTGCCGAGTGAATTTTTCGCGTTTGGCGCGAGTCCTTTGCGACTCGAGAGATACGATCGATCGGCGTCCATGATAAAGCTGTGAATCGCAAGCTAGCCGCATAATGACTTTTGGCGATGGCCAGCTGCATTGTGACACTGTGATTTAAGTCGGAAGTAATTGCTGCATTTTGAGATTTATGTACTGCAACTCGTAGTTTACTGGTGAAAATACTGCTCGTGAAAATAGTGAATAAAACGCACGAGCAAGGATATTTAAACGACGAGCCGATGTAGGTTCAGAAGATGAAGCTCAATTGAGACGGGGGTCTTTGACCTGAATTCTCACGGTGCATTTAAAATTAAATGTGCTTGAAGATCGTTTCATGTATACATCGCGTGCACTCTGCATATAAACTTAACATCAAACAGAAATGCCAAATGTTCGCTAAATTTTGTTTAAAAAAAGAGAAAGAAAGATTTTCCCTGAAATATCATTTAAAAGCTTAATTTTAATTTGTAGATATCACACACACACACACACACACACACACACACACACACATTATAATCTATATTAATTTATATTTAAAAATATATTTGTATATAAAATTCTTTTATTATTTCTAATTTAACAAAATTAAACAAAACAGCGCTATTAAGACTCGATTTGAAAGTGATAGAGCGAGGGATTAGAAAGAGAGATCGCAACAGATTAAAATAATCTTTATTATAGTTACTCTACAATTAATGAGAAAATAATATTTCAATTTAATTAAAATTTGTAATTAAAATTGAATACAAAATGAAATAATTATTTTAAATGCAATTAAGATAGAAGGAACATTTCATATGTGAGACGAATACCGTCAAAGGGTTAACGAATGCGTGCTTGGCGAGGAAGCGTAGTACACTCGAGTGAGACGGTGCGAGACGGGACGGGTCTCTCGTTTTGTTTCACGCCGGAAATCATACATTCGGTGTGATATAACAGATTCGGTTGGCCGATACGCGGGGGAGACGCGGAGCGACGAGATGAGCGTGCATCGTGCGTCCGGATGCAAGTGCACCGGGAGTCAACACCGGCGACAGTCGACACTCAACGTCGGTCTGCGGTCGCGGGTTAAAGCCAGAAGCGACAGGCCGCGGCAGTACCTGCATAATGACTCGACTGCAGCCGTGCACTGCGGCGCGCGGGCTCTGCGCGATGCACCGCACCGGTGCAGCCGGACCAATCGTGGCAAGGCCAACTTGCACGCTCCGCGTCCTCGAGATGCATCGATGCATCTTTTACGGATTGGAGTTGGAATTCGGAGCGTTTTTCGAGGTTTTCGCGGCTCCCGCCCACGTCCTCCTTCGTTTCCGGAGGTGCCCGGAAATATATTGGAGCCCGACATTCTGACTATAATAACATTTAGGAAAAAAGACTTTTATTAAAATTATTTTCAGGACAACGCTCTAATATTATTTCATCATTAAGAGCAATTATTTAATCATTGAGAGCAATTATTTCATCATTGACAGCAATTATTTCATCATTGAGAGCAATTATTACATCATATTGATTTGTTAATAATAGATTACTTAATTTAATATTATAGTTTGAAGTAAGCTAGTAAGTTAAGTCTATTTGAACTGATTAAAGAATTAAGTTGCTAATTTAATAGTACATATATCATATGAAAAAGGCTTACAAGATTTTTATAATTAAATATTTATTAAGCTCTAATTTGTCGTTCATACGCTTTAAAATGATGAATAAATTTTTATATCTATTTTTCGAAAAACAATTTTTTATTTTTTAATATTATTCTTATTATATTTTATGAATAGAATAATTTTGTGTGTGTGTGTGTTATAATACTATTATTGATATCAAAAATTTATATCATATTTCAAGAATATGATAATAAAACGAATTAATAATATCAATAACTTTGCAGATATTTTGTTGAATTTGAGGTCAGTTCTCCGACTGCAATAGTTTGTAAGGCAAATTTCGATAAATTTACTCGCTCTTGACGTCAGCAAGATATATATAGCTAAATCGACTGTTATATCAATTTAAGGTAATATATAATCGATTTAGTTACATGCAAAATGTATCTTTGATAGATTGTTTTATTTCATTGCGATTTTTTTTTATCAAAACATTATGAATACGTCAAACAATAATAAAAAGAAGATATTTGCTATACAATATAAAAATAATAATTAAAATTAGTTTATGATTAATAAATACTTCGTCAAAGAAACATGATTTTCTATTTTGTACATGATCGACATCTTTCGGTTTTAGATTTTTGCCACATATTCTTACAGCGACTCTATTTTGCCGACATTTTTCTTTATTACGTTTTGCCAACGATAAAACTAAATGTCGAGGGTGGAACAGAAAGGAATTTGCTTTAATGTAAGAATTACTTACTGCTGTATAAATCGCATTTATCGACTTAACTATTCGTAATCTCGATAGGTGAGAAAGAACTTTTCGGATTCCTATATTTGCTGCTGTGGATATCCTTTCCAAGTTTGAAAGCAATATATCTTTTATGATACTTAAACCATTTTATCGTTATTGAGAAGATGTAGTTAAAAATTTATAGTTGATTGTTTGAAATAGCTATAAAACATATAAAACTTATTTTAATAAATAAAATTTTAAAAAATAAATAACACACAAAATAGTATTTTATTATTTTTAATTAGACTTGCTCTAAATTATTAATTATATTATTCAATATATAATTATAATTTTTAAAAAAATAAATAAAATAACTAAATTTTTTTGAAAAAATTTGTCATAGAGAGAGTTTATCTCTATATTGTAATCCAAAAATATTTTCATTATTACAATCTTCATGCTTCTGCAAGTCGAAATAATTATAATCTTACAATTAATTGGACATAAAGAATTCAATTTATTGATTTCCAATGTCTTTCGACCTATTATTGAATAAACATTTTTTTTGTTATAAAATGCTGCTCCAAATATTTTATCAACAGTTTTACTAATTTTGAAAAATAGAAAAAATCAAAATAATTAATATAATGTTAATTCAAAATAAGGCTGCAATTAAAAAGGATATTTTTTATCGTATTTAAAATGTATACATAATACATTATTTTTTCATTAAATTTAGGAGGGGAAATGGAATAAAAGACGATCGGAAGGGAGAAAAAGAAAGGAAGAGATTGTGTGGAAATGAGAATGAATCGTGAGAACAAATTGTGGGAGAAATGTTTCTTAAGATGAGGAAAAATAGGAACTATTAAAAAATGATAAAGGAAATATTGGAAGGAAAAAGGGATGACTGAAGAAATTAAAATTGACAAGAGTAAAGAACGAAAAAAAGAAAGAACAAAGAAAGAAAGAAAGAGAGAGAAAGCATGCGTATGGACATGTATAAAAAAATATGTGTCTTGTTTTTGTCTAGAAAATAACATTGAAAGCTCAAAAAGGCAGGCATCAAAAAGGAGGAGAGACAGTTCTTTTGTGCATCTCTTTGTTAGTTTGTAGTAAATGCGTGACAACCTATAAGTTTATGTTCGTATTTTAATTTTTAAGAGCTCTGTTTATTTTTAATATTTATATATTTAACACTGAGGGAGGACATACAATAACCAATATTATTTATTATTAATATATCAATATTGTATAAATATTTTATTAAGTATGTTTTAATATATTTTTAACTTATTTGCATATTGTCTAATTAAATGAAAAATTCTAATTTAAGAATTATAGTTCTATAATAACGATCAACTGTACAACTAATGTTATTTAACATAACTCGCTTAAAAACAAACTTGACTATGAACTACAGAATCTTAATGATAATCTCATTTGACGAGGTTATCATTAAGAGAAAGATATCTTAGTTTAACTAATTTAAAAATAAATCTGCATGAACTTTAGAGACGACAACATCGTCTTATGCAACAGATTTAAAACAAATCTATGATTTTGAAATCTCAATAATTACAAATATATTGACTTCATAATCACGTGAAAGTAATCGATAGTAAGCTCTTATTTTTTATTTTTCCTATTAATCGTGCCTAATTAAAAATGTAATTTTTTTTACATCAGATCTTTCATAAAATTAATCCGATGACAATATTGTATTTTTTATCACATCAAAAATGTGATTAAAATTTATTTTCTATTCTAAAAATGAAAATTTTTGCATGTTTGTTTTTATATTATTATTATATCATTTTAATAAAGAATGTGTTAAGATTATATGTTAATCATTCTTAAAATATTATTTAAAATCTCAAAGAGAAGAAATTACTATCATAATCACGATAAAAAAATGAAAATCTAGGAATTTATCAATTTTAGGAAAAAATTTCGCAAATTTCCATTTAAAAAATCTTTCTTTTTCTAATTTAAAAATCTTTTATCTAAGATTTTTTTCTGTACACACAAATGTGTATTGTTTCAAATATTCTATCGAAAAATATAATTACTTAAATCGATCTAAATTAGAAAAATAATTATCAAATGTAATAGAAGCATGAAATTAACATATTTTTAAATATGTTTCAATAACGGATTATATTGCTTTTTATATTTTTTCATTTTTTATTTATTATTTATTTATCTTTTGTGCTTAATTTAGAATTCCTAAGTCTCTCAATTTTCCTGGCTTTCAAATTGCACTGGAAATATATGTCGTAGAGTGCGCAAGCGCTATTTCTCAATGGACCGACCCGCTTACCTCCGTCTATATAGAATTAATCCTGACATTTACTTTCATTAGATTAATCCTCACATTTTCTCGCACCTCAATCCTATGGCTGATGAAAAACTTTAATGGCTACTTCTATTTTCCAAGCTTCATGTTGAATGATATCAGCAAAAGCTATTGTGCTACCATGCATGCTTTGTCGGTATAGCTGCCGCAATGTGAGCACGTGGCATGGACTGGCGTCATATTGATCGACCTGAATCCGCGCTTTAATCGGTGCGTCGACTCGCGCGCTTGTCAGTTCCTTGAAAGCATCTGTGTACTCCGCTTTTACGGCATAATCGCGGCCACGTAGTCACACTATGGCATCTCACGAAACTGTATCGTGTTGCATTGTGTCCTCGTTAGACTTATTTCGCCGTCGCCATGCATCGGTGATGTCGACTCGTCGATAGACGTGCTGTGGTGTCTGAGCTTGAAGAGAGTGCATAGAAAGGTGCCAGATATCGTTCAAAGTCGACAATCGAAGATCAAGACAATCGCGAGGAATGACAGTAACCAGAAAACGGAAATAGACTTTGTGTTAGGCATCTTCTACAGAAAGGATAGCATTGTCTGCTACGAGAAAATTGAAGCTTTTGGATACAGTGGTGCAAAGAAGAAGAAGTATGTGCAAATTTAAGTCTATAAATGAATTAAAAAATTTGCCTTACAGTCTGAATACAAATATAAAGCGAAATTTTTTGATTATAATACAATATTCTGATTTTGCATAGATTAATCATATATTTGCATAGATTAACCAAATGTTTCACTGAATACAGTTAAAACTAAACATTTTTTTATTTATTATTATTAACATAAAATAATACAAGATAACTTTACATATGAATGTATAAATTTAAAAAGAATCATATAATCTTATATCTGAGAAACCTGTGTTTTCTCTGAAGTGATTAAATAATTTTTAACTTTTACTGTAGGTTAAAGAAATAAGCAAAAAGAACTGAATATGATAGAAAAGAAAATTAATTCTAAAATATTTATTAATTCTTATGAAAGAATTATATTATTTGATTTTATTTTTATTAATTCTTTTTTAATTCACATATTTTTAACTCTCTAAATAATAATATTTACCCCAAAAATTTACAATTAGAATATTTTATGTCATGAAATTAACAATTTATTTTAGCAAATACTACATTTTTGGTATGTAATTTATCTCTTGTTAATTGATACTGTAGTTTAAGTGTAAAAATATATAAACATATTTAGCAAAACATTTGAGATTCACTATTACCTAATATTAATTTACTATTATCTACAGAACTATCATAAAATTTTCCATATTGCTCAGTCTCGACTATATAAACAATTTATTGCATCATTATCTCGTTCAGCTGATAAGTGCTTTAAATTAGGGAACTCAATTGTGACAATTCTTAAATACGCATACATATGCATTCACGATAAAAATTGCGACAAACGCGATTAAATAATAAGAAATTAACAATTTAAAATATTATTTTTTTTAATTTTGGAGGATTTTTATTTATTAGGCACACACATAAACAGACACCTATACCTACAATAAATATAATAATTTATTAATTGAATATATATACAAACTATTAAATTAAATTGTACATAATGTATAACAATTACGACAAAACATTTTTTATTAATGCAAAAGAATCACATGACAAATCACATGAACAAAGTACTTTAATAAATAAATGGAGTAATAAAATTAATTTACATACTTAATCTAATTATAATTTAATTATCAAAATAAAATGAAGATAGGTAGATATCTTCGATACAAATTAATAAAAAATATTTATCATAAATGATATTTTAACACAAAGCTAAATCTATGAATTTTTAGAGATTTGCTTTTAGAAATCTAATTTTTTTTTTATTATAAGATTGACTTACGTAATTTCAGCAAATTTGTCTGAAATATACGGCCGAATCAGTTCGCGCTGGTCGAGCGTTATTCCATGCTTGAGAAAATTTCAATATGACACAAAACTAAGGACATCCGTCGTTAGGATGTGGACATATCACTTGATAGTGGGTAAGTGCGTCCTCGACGAACTTTTCATTTAATACCGAAAAAGATTTTTCTCATATCTCTCTCAGGAAGATAGCATTAAAATAAGCTTCTCATTTGCGCAAATATTCAAGTGTATTTAATGTCTAGTTTTTATAGCTTGAAATTGAACAGCCCGAATTGAAAAACAACCCAATAATTTTGTTGCTTACAATTTTTTTTAAGACAAAAAATATTACAAACAAATATTAAACCATATATTAAAGTACAGGATATATTTTTTGAGTGCAAATTTTAAATTAAAATATGAATGATTACGCGATTGATAATATATCAAGATGTCGATATTTTTGGGAAAGTTAACTGATAAATTAATACAACTCTTATTTGCAATTGCTATAAATCTTATTACGAATCTAGAACGTAAATGTTATTACGTATTCGATTAATCAACACGCGTATGGCCGCTGCCTCCGTGCTGCTAGGTACGTGGACACGTACGTACGTAACATTCATGAGAAAAATTCGCATTTGAAAATAAGCTAAAGAACTGTATATAGTAAAATATATGTGTATGAATATCAATATTGTTTTTTAATTATTTGAGAAAAGTTATTTGAGAAAAATTGTTAAAGAAATATATTTTGAAGTTTATATTTTTTTACGAATTTTATATTGAAAATACGCATTCTTTAGATTTAATCAAATGCGGAAATTTTTAATTTTCAGAAAAGTGTGTCAGGCATCTCCAAATTTTCTTGTTTATTAATCTTTGACTGGATAATTTATCCCATTCAGTATGAAAAAAATCTGCAAAAAAAATATATTATAAAATATAATAATATAAATATGTTTTGTAAATATATTTCAATATGTTTCCATTTGATTCATATTTTTATACTTACTTATGTATTCCGCACATTCTGTAACATTTTTTAATCGATATTCCATCTGCAAGAAATCATGTATATATATACAGGGTGAGGCATCTAAAACAGGCCACCTGAATAACTCCGTTGGTAAGCCGAATATAAAAAAATTGTTCAGACAAAGGTTGTAGGGTTTCAAGGGGGACATATGATGGTGTCATTAGTTTAATCTTGAAGAGCCACCCGAAGGTCACGTGAAGGTCAGCTCCAACTTTTTAAATGGGACACCTTATGTGCTTTTGCATATTCTTGTAGCTCATCTCAAGAGCTTTCCAAAACACTACAATTATGTTAGTTTTCATTAAATACTTTCCAAGTTATGAGGCTTGAAATAATTTTTTAATTTTACATAAACCGTAAAATATCTTGTAAAATATTCATTTTTCGATTATTTTTCCTTAATACTTTTATGTACAAAATAATGAGAAGAATCAATTGGTGTAAAGAAAACACATAATTGCTTCGAACAAAAAAATGTAATTTGCAATTAACAATTACATTTTTTTGTTCGAAGTAATTATGTGTTTTCTTTACACCAATTGATTCTTCTCATTATTTTGTACATAAAAGTATTAAGGTAAAATAATCGAAAAATGAATATTTTACAAGATATTTTACGGTTTATGTAAAATTAAAAAATGATTTCAAGCCTCATAACTTGGAAAGTATTTAATGAAAACTAACATAATTGTAGTGTTTTGGAAAGCTCTTGAGATGAGCTACAAGAATATGCAAAAGCATATAAGGTGTCCCATTTAAAAAGTTGGAGCTGACCTTCACGTGACCTTCGGGTGGCTCTTCAAGATTAAACTAATGACACCATCATATGTCCCCCTTGAAACCATACAACTTTTGTCTGAACAATTTTTTTGTATTCGGCTTACCAACGGAGTTATTCAGGTGGCCTGTTTTAGATGTCTCACCCTGTATATATATATATATATATATATATATATATATATATATAAAGTACTTTTATATAAAAGTACTTTTACCTTTATACTTTCCATAAATTACATCGGATTTGCATTCTCATAAAAAATTTGACAAGATAAGAATATCGGTTTAATTTACGTATCTTTATATAACGTTTGTTATATAATCCGCTTATAAACATAAATTCGTGTTCTATATTAAGCAGCAAATCATGAGTGAAATCCAATTTTTCTCACTAATTTAAATAATTCCTACACATATACCACAGAAGCTTTTAATCGTTTGCCCTTTTACACCTATTATATTACACGTATTAAAAGCATGTAAAAAATATAAAGTCTCATAATTTAATTGTTACCTCTATGCATCGTCCTAAATATATATTATAATATATAAATTGAAATGCATTCAGAATATCTTTCTTTTTGAAATCTCTATTTTTCATTTTTCCAATCCAGTTTTTCAAGATTGATCTATAAGCATACTAATAAAATGTGTTTTTAAAGCTCCTTTGTGATCAACCAAGTGCGGAAAAATTTAATTTTTAGACTGCAGCAGATATTATGTCACTTGCTGTTCTATATACTTTGTTCTATATATTGTATGCTTTGTGTATTCTATTTGCGTTCTTACATTATATCATGTATATACCATATTCCATATATCTATATATATACCTTTCATATCCTATGCTACATACTGTATTCTTGGTCATTAAGCACCACAGGGAAATTTTTTACCATACATTACTTATAACTTCTATAAGGATAAAAACTCTAAATTTAACTTATACAACTATACAAACTACATTTGATTTGGCAAATCTGGACGTGTCTGCCGCACGATTGCTCTTTGATCAATCGAGTGATAGCATTATTAGATAGCGCAACTATCAACGGTTCCTAACATCATTAATACCAATACACTAGAGCCGAGCTATAGAGGCAGTAGCGGTTGTAGTGATAGTCGCAGCCACCGTAGCCCGGCTGTATAATAGCGCTAGTACTGTCGCTTGTGTTGCCAGATTTATATATACATCGAATTAATTAAACTAGTAATCTGCGTACGAACACACATTGTCTAAATGCAATAACCCATCTTTCGTTTTCAGCGGCAATTTTACTCGCGGTTGCCAACGTCTGTCATGCGGAGTGCCAGAGTGAGTGATTAAACCAGCTTATTCTCCTAGGTGTGCCCGTGCCGTGTCGTCGAACTCGTTCGCTAGGGAACTTGATGAAGCTCGATGCGCCCGCGGCCAAGTGACTCTCACCAGAGTATTCACTCCCAGGATATGCTCGGGGGTCGGGGGAGAAGCATTCTCCGCCGGAAATTAATCGGCTGAGTTCGTTTTCGCCCTAAACTGGATGAGGAACATGGGAAATTAGTTTATTATTAAAAATCTGTTGCTTGAGGACTATTTTGATAATCGGATGTGTTGAATTTTGTTTGAAATAAATTAAAAATAAAATCATAAGTATCAATCAATAATTGATCCCTATTCTCGTCCAGTTTCATCGAGCACATAGCTACACCACCGAAGTACTCGCACCTTCTTATTGTGTCGTGAAAAGCGAACAGTGCCTGATATTTGTCTTTTAGAGCTCACGCGCGCGCGGGCGCCCATCGATGCAAAGAATCTTACATGAGAAGATGTGCACTTGGAAAGCGATGTGTCCTCGAAGTAAAAATCTCTAGTCACTTAGTCTTTAAATATCTCAATTACTCGATAACAGATCGAAATTATTATAATATTAATTATTATAATTTATTTATATTGAATACTTCCTAATCTTATTTTATATCTATTATATCTGATTTTGAAGTTGTCTAAATTTTTTTTATCTCTTTTTAGTGTATTATAATTGCTTGTTTAACATTAAACGTTATCTTGATTAAAGCTTAACTATAAATTTGTTCATCATGTGAAACTTTAACTTCGTGTACATTCTTTTCCGAGTGCGATAAAGGTAATGCGTGGTTTTTGAAAATGCTTCTATTCGCAGCTCGCTCCATTTACTGTTATGAGTGTGACTCATGGACGGATCTCAGATGCAAGGATCCTTTCAACTACACTGCATTACCCAGGGACCAACCACCTTTGATGACCTGTAACGGATGCTGCGTGAAAATGGTCCGCAACGCAAAATCACGTAAGTATTTATAAGTTTGGCATAAAAGATTTATTCTAGAAAACTAGAAATTTTGTATGAGAGTTTAGATTAAATTTTTATTGACAAAATTTGATGACAGAAATTAAGCAAAAAGAATTTGACAGATTTTTCACATGTAATAATTAATATATAATTTTTTAAATTAATAAAGAATTAGTAGTATAAATGTATTAAAAATGTATCTTTTATTGTATTATAAAATATATAGATAAATTTGTCATGAATCTATAAGGAACTGTAAGAATTTAATTGCTGCTTATCGTTCTTTTTTGCTTGCAGCGTATGAGAGCGTGAGGAGAACCTGCACCTCGCAACTACAAATAAACTTATTCATGGTGGACCACGTGTGCATGATGGAAAGTACCGGCACTGGTCACATGTGCTTCTGTGAGGAGGATATGTGCAATCGTGTACCCCCGACCTCGCGCTCGAATCCCGTACTCCTGCTGATCCTGTCGACCATCCTTGTTCTACGCTCGGCCGTCTTAGGAGCCTCAGCTTGCTTTGTAGAACGTTGCAATGATCACGTCGTATAACACTAATTAATTCGATCCACCCATCGCAGTGGCGTCCAATCATATCCTTCGTAGAGATTCTAGCGAGTCGACAACACGACCACTCGTCGGAACGAACGATCGAGCTGGCTTCGATCCTAAAGGCTAGACCCTTTGAGATGTAAAAGAAAGAAATAGCCGAAAGAAAGTAAAAGTGGCGGTCGATTGATGTAACTATCATTGGTTTTATGACTCTTTCAAATTCATATCATCGATCCAGCCACACAATCGCGTGTAGAAATATAAAATATATTTCTATAATACAAAAATTTTATCAAAGTTACATATCTTACAATAAATAGGTCAATAACAGAAAATGAGATGAACTCGAAACATATTGAACGTTGCAAAGAAATATATATACATTTATAAATAGTAAACATATCAACAAAAATAATATTTATTCATCTATTCTTATAAATATTTTATTATGCATTATAAATTAAATTAATTTTACATAATATTTTAAAGAAAAAGTAGAAATAAAACTGAAGTTGAAATAAAGCTAATATTAATTTGCATTTTGCGATACTTGGTCATATATAATTGTAACATTGAATTCTATGGTACATTATTAAAATCAAATTCAATTTTCTTCTACTGAGAGCACAATTTGTGTGCATCGTTCGTTCCGATTATTGGCCTTAGATAGCATCGAGAATATCTAAGCGTTTCTTGTGTAGCAATCATCCCGACTGTCCAATCGATTTCTCTGACGATTTTAACACAAGTTCGAGTTCTTTGTTAGTTGCTCTTTGAGCAAGCACGGCTAGCATCTTTACAATGCATTCGTGATATAAGCTCTGAGGAAGGAATTTTATGAAAGAAAGAATATTTAAAATAAATATCTAAAATATAAAATATTGAATATACGTATCAAATATTAAATATACATATCTATTGAATATTGAATATTAAATAATTCTTGAAAGATAAATCTAAATTACATTTGTAATGTAAAACAGAAGTAATACAATTTATTACAGAAAGTATTTTCAATTTTTACTGTAATTTTGTGATATATGGCATACGAATTATTCTGAATTAATTATTTACATAAATTATATAATTTTACAATATTTTTTGCTTAAATTCAATATTCTTGATGTTCTACATATTTAACTATCATAATGTATTATAAATTTTTTGTATTGCATAATGTTTGAGTTAAGAAAAAATATTCCACTTATAAATCAACAAGTAAAATTGAGAGAAATTCATCAATATTCGTTAAAATTGAACTCCTTCCTCGGCGTTGTCGTTGCATGTACTCAACCATCGTCTGGGAACATCGATGATGGATTAACCGTTTACCCTAATAGTACTACAAAGAGAATAACCAATGTGGATACTCTAGTTTTGGATTTTTCTCACGAAATTGCACCTCACTGTGTTGTTTCTCTCATTCTAATGCGACAATGTTCGACGCGACTGGTCGAGTTTCTTACAATGCGAGAATTTAAAGAGCACAGTAAAATTGCACGATATATGAGCACCGGCCTGCATAATTTAAAAAAATGTATGCATAGAGTATTCAAAAAACTTTTAATTTTGAAATAAAATTAAATAAATAAGTTAAAGTTTTATTAATTTAAAAATTCTAATTTTCTCATGCAATAATGCAAATAATATATAAAAATATTTAAAAATGAGTTACTATAATTCTTTATAATAATTAGAATTTTGAATTATATAAAACAGAAAAATTGAATAGACATCTTTCCGAATTATATCTTCGCGTTTATATTTATTGTTTCATACATACATGCATTATATCTGGCAATTATACATTTAATTAATTTAGTATCACAATATGTTAATACTAAAATAATTATTATAATACTAAAATAATTATGATGATAACAACAATATTATAAAAAAAACGGTGCTCATTCGTCAGGCAAATTTAATCAATTTAGCAAAAAGCTTCCTTGATTCCACTCAATTACAACTCTCACTCACTGTTCTTCACACCGTCTTTTTCTCTCTCTTTCTCTCTTTATTACAGAGCCTGATTCTTTACCTATGCACTCTTCTCTCGTTTTTTTCTTTCTTTGACAGCACAACTTTCTCGTAGATACTTTGTCCGTTAGTTATTCTAACAAAACATTCTCATATTCAAAGTGACGAGGAAGCGTTGAATCTATGATAGAAGGCGAGCTTGTATTATAGAAAGACTACTATACTTTAGATAGCATGATTGCAGCATGCACATCCAACAGACAGCATTAACAGATGCAGAAAGAAGCGGCCAGGATGAGCAACGAGGATGACATTTTTGAATTCTGGAAGTTATCACAATATATGCGCACGTTTTTCGAAACGGGAATAAGTCTCGTAAAAAAACATTTTCTATCCAAAAATCTTAAAGAATTTCTAATTCATCGACATATCAAAATTATAAAGTTTAGAAGGATTAAAATTTCAATACAGCTACACAAACTCTTTGAAACTTTAAATCGCGAGAAATCTTGAATTTTAGTTCTAAAAATTTAAGAATTGTTTTATATAAAAGTTCGATTTAAAATTTGGAAACTTAAAAAGTCTAAATTTTAAAGATGAAAGATAAATTTCTAAGTATGACACATTTCTAAATCTTCTCTAAAAAAGAGTGCTCAAGACTATAAATCGATATAGTTGAAGAAATATAGATAAAGTTGCAATTAGAAGAAAAGTCGCGTCATAGACAAAAATGAAAATAAGTGCATGGATTGTAGCGTTACAAGGCTGTACGAATTATGGAAAGTCAGCGCAGAAATATTTTATATTTAATCGCAAAAGCTTTAATCATAAATCTGAATTTATTAAATTTGCACATAAAGATTAATATAAAATGTCTCATGTATGTACTTATAATCATATAATTTTGGAGAAGAATGGGCGAGTAGGGAACATACAAAAAAAAGTGAAAGAGGAAAAAATTATTCAAATCCAATTATATAATTATTTTCTTCTTCTAAGAAAAGATATATATTTCTCTTTCTCAATTTCATATAAACGTCTTCTATTTGTGTTTAGAATGTAATGCTTTATAAAATAATTTAACTTAATTGTTAAATAACTATTTCCATTACTATTTCAGATAAGAAATATTAAACTTACGTTTAATTATGATCTAGTATGCAAGGAATAACTTTGTCGTTTGATTTTCACATAACCGTACAGCAACATCTTGCATGAGATTGCATGTCGTTATTATTCTTGCGTGTGAACGAGTATTCCACTTCCACTGATCAATGATGGAAAGCGAACAGCGTTTACGCACTATTATATAAATTCTATTATATAAATTCTATTATATAAATTCTTAAATATTATTATGTACCTTATCAAATTATGTACGCGATTAATGAAATCTAAAAAATTCAAAGTTTTTTTCACGTTCATGCAGATCCGAAAAAATTATACCGCTGTTTCTTTCTACCCATGACTCGTTCGAATGCAATAACAACAAGAACAATAACAGCATTCACAAAAATAACAATTATAACAACTAAATAACCCACGATACCTTCCACCCCGACTGCAACGCAAAACAGACGAAAAGCAAAGCACAACGTGGGCCTTCAGCTTCGTTTGTGTCGCAATTAACGAGCCTATCGCTTCTGATAAAAATCATATTCAGTTGCTAAATCGAGCTTAGTCTCACTCGATCAGATCTCAACTATTCAGCAGAGAAAACTATTGAATCATCTATTCGTGGCGCTCAAATCTACCCATCGATTATGTACAACTTTATTTACATATAACTTAGCTAATATTTGTCGATAAATGATGAAATGTTTATAAAATAATTTTATTTCTTAACGTGTAATAAAACATAATCATGTCAAGTCGTCTTTTCACCGTTAAAAATGTTATGCCAAAGTGCAAAAAATTTAAATGTCACCGATTGCCACTCGATGATGATGCAATCATCCTCTCTGCCGAATGCAAACGTCGATCGTCGAAATCGCTCGAGACTGGCACGGCCAAGCTGAACGCGCATGTCCTCACAGAGAGGCTTTCGAAGCGGAGCCTCTTGCCAAATAAGCTTCGGTGCTTGCTTGACCGATGGCGAGCAGACCGATGTTTCTCTGGCAAGCCATGCGGCTCGTGTCGCGTCATTTGTTCATTGTCGCACGCGCGGCTGCGAGGCTACCCGTTCTATATTTCTCGTCGCGATTTATACCACTCTTATATCTCTTCTCTAACCCTTTAGGTTTCCTCTATTCCTTCAATTAATTTCATCCAGCATCCTTTGATCTCTCAATCTAAACGCTTTATTCATGTCAGATATAAGCACTCTTTGCGCGAGGAAACTGCTCTAGTTGAATTATATTAATTATACATACTTGCTTTTTCAATAACCATACAAAATGATATTATTCTTCTCATATGAAGATGTCTTTGACTTAAATAAAAATTGTTACGTGATATTTAAAGTTTATTTATGGCTATAAATAAATTTATCTGTGTATGGACAAGAATGTTTCTTACATAATCTAAATGTCATTATTTATATACATCTTATTGCAAAATTAAAGATTATACGATTATAATTTATAAAAGAATAATGAAAACTTAAGTTCTACTTAATTAAAGTATTGTTGAAAATAAAATTGATTAATCTTATAACTGATTAATCTTTAATTATAAAGTATTGCTGTCTAGTTTATAAATTCTTTCTTGAATAATTCTGAATCGTAGTCTTAATCAAAATACAGATACACACAGTTTCTTAAAAAACACGTACAATTTTAAATTAATTTTTCAATGAATTCAAAATATTTATCTCTCTGACTAACAATTTTATATATATATACATATATAAAACATGTTTAAAAAGTTAGTAAAGAAATGTTGAAAAACAGTGGAAAGAGCACGTTTCCTCGTTTCCGAGACATGGAAATTTTGATGTCGAATCTCTTGCTGCTTACTATTAATAATCGGTATTAAACCTGGCCTCGCAGCTGAAAAGTATCCACGTGTATAACTAGTAAATTAGTCTATTTGCAATATGGATTATTTAGCATATCAATGATAAACAAAAACAAATATAGATATAAGAAAGAATATTTTAATCCTTTAACTCAATAACTTAAATTTCTAATTTTATGTATTAAAAATGTATTTCTCTTAAAAATTGAGGAAAATACAATTTTGCATAAATCAAGAAGTGAATTCAAATTAACAGTTAAAGGATTAATTTTTGGAATACATTGTATTAATATATTTTACTTCTATACGAACATAAATGTGCGATTGTATAACTGTATAAGTATATATAAGAGATAATTGAAAGAAATAACTTTCATTTTATAATAATATATCATAAAATTATATCATAAAATATGTTAAAATGTGAAGTGACGATAAACATATCCTTCGTTCTCGAATCGTTAAATAATTAATATATTTTACCATATCATACATATATTATATCAAAAGATATAATTACCATATCAATAGGCTTTTAATATACATATATATATATAACTTATGTTACATCTTATTTGTAAATGTAGAAGACCATGAACATTATATACAATATGTTTCTGTTATCGCTTATATTGATAAAATGTAAAATGACGATAAATCCTTTGTCCTCGAATCAAATAATTAATATATCTCGAATTAAATAATTAATGTATTTTACCATATCAATAGGCTTTAATCTATTTTTGTGAATTTCTATAAGAAATATCGACTTAACTCCTATTAGTTAAATCCAGCTAAATCTTATTTTTATATAACAAAGAAAAATTTCTCTTATTCGAACGTATTTGTAGTTTTAATCTCTTTGCTTTTATTATTATGGTATATTCTGTCGCAAATTTGTAAATAGCTTTGCAAGCAAAAAGAAGAAATGTTTGTTAAGTTATATAATAAATTAACGAAAAAAGTGTTAAATATATATGCAAGATTTTGAATTTAATGATTGTAAATATAAAATAATTCTTAGATGAGAGATAATTTATTAATAACTTAATGCTCAATTTTGTATCGTCACTTTTGTAGCGAATAGTTTAAAAAATTATAATATTATACTTCTTGCAAAAAATTTAATGAAAATGTTATATTAAGTTGCTGGATATTGTAGAATTAAATAAATTTTCTTAATTCCAGATATTTTAACAATATATTTACATTGATTATTAATATTAGTATATTTATTTATTATTTATCTTTCTATAAACTTTTAGAGACTATTTTATAATATTATATATTACTTATTAATACTCCTCACAATCCAGATTTAATCAACTTTAAATTAATTTAAAAATAATACGTATATGTATATATGTAATCTAATTTATATATTTTATATCTAGTTGATTTAAATATTATATATATATTGTAGATAAAAGATATAAGAAGAAATGATTACATAGAATATTCTGATTTGTATATATATGTGTTATAAATAAAAGATGTTATGAAAATATTTTTTAATTCCTGTAAATATATCGATCATTTTTAACTTAAAATTTATTAATTTTTTAAAATCTGTATATATATGTATATATGTATATATATAATATTAATTTTTTAATATAATGTTAATTAAAATAAATAAATATTTTTTGCAGAAATTTTTAGACAGATGCATCTACGATACATTAAAACATGAAAATATACTATTTATATGTTTTAATATATATTTCTAGGGTTTTTAATATATATTTCTTACACACACAAAAGGATTAAAAAGTTCGGATAATAATCAATATACATATTATATATTCGGATAATTATCAATATATTAAATATTTTGTCATATGCATTTCAGTATTTGATTTCATACGGTTTTTTTTTAAATATTACATTCTACGCCATTTTGACACACACACACACATACTACAGTATTCAAAATAAAATATTACTTCTTTTTTTATATGTTATTCTTTTAGTACATTCATATAAAGTCAATACTTCAGCGTTTCATAGATTTATTAATTTTAATAAACAATATAATTTTCTCAATTATATATTTTTAAATTAATTAATAAATTTTACAAAATTTATTGATATGTACGCATTTATCAAATCTTTAACTTTTCTTTTTCATTCAGAAGCATTCCCTCCTTCAAAAAATTATAAAATTTAAGATAGATATTTTGTAAAATCGATATTTTTAAGATTTTTTAAACTAATTTTTAAGTTAATCTTTTAATTAGTTACGAGTTCTATTCTATTTTAAGATTTACTTAGTGAGACAATGTAATTTATTCATTATTAATTCCACTTGATATCAGCTAATGATATATTGCAAAAATAATTTTAAATTATTAGATTGTAAAAAGTGGCTTCAAGTGTAATTTGATGTGTAAAATAGTAACATTTTTTATAGAATTCCTTATTACTATGTCTCCTTCCTTACTGTTATGTCTCCTTCATTCCTTTTTCCTTCCCTTTTTCTCGCAAAACTCGAACGGATTTTTAATCATTTATATAGGGCGCGCTGACTACCAATAGCAATTATAGTTTTATTTCTGAGAAAGCCTGCGTTGGCCGAAGGGATAATAACAATGTTAGCACCATTGTTTTTGGCATCAGTACTGATTAATGTATTATCTATTACTATGTAACTAGAACCAATCTTGCGACAGTTATTTTCTCAGATGCTTTGGAATTATCAAATTCCATCCAATTATTATGAGCAAGATTTATTTGTAAAAGTCATATTATAGATCATGCAATGTATCATTTTATAATTATTTATAGTAATCAATATATCATTATCAGAGTCACTTCATCGACATCGGATATTGATTCACACGTCCCAATATATACTTATCTTCTTTCATTAATGGAAGGAGAAGCTTTTCGGAAGGAGAAGCCAAAAGTGGAGCAGCAAATGTATCCTTGAGAAATACACAATATTTATTACATATAATTTTATACAAAGTAACATATAAAAGTTCATTAAATTTTGTACAAAATAATATATAAAAGTTCAATAAATAAAAATAAATAAAAATTAATAATAAATTTAAGGTGAAAATATAATGAAATTTATTTTTAATGAAAGATTTTATTAAAGATTAAATTTATTTATTTAAAAAAACCTACGTAAATAGAAAAAATAGGTAAATAATAAAAATTTGTTTTTTTGTATTATTTTTTATGTGTGTGTGTGTGTATAATTATTCAAAATAATAATAAATTTAATAATCATAAATCTTTCATTTAAATCTATCTAAATTAAAAAAATAATTCGATTGTATAATAGAAGTATAAAATCATATTATTCTCATTATGTTTCCATAGCAAATTATCTTATTTTTTATATTTTTTAATTTTTTATTTATCATTTTTTTATCTTTTATTTAATTTAATAGACTTTAGTAGTACTTAATTTAATAGAGTTCTTAATTCTTTCATTTTTTGGCTTTCAAATTTCTGGAAATCTATATCGCAGAATGCGCAGGCGTTATTCTTCAATGGACGGACCCTCTTACTTTCGTCTATATAGAATTAATCCTGACATTTTCTTTTATTAAATTAACCTGAATAAATTTTTTAATTCATTAATTCTACGGCTGATAAAGAAAAAACTTTTATGATAACTTCCATTTTCCAAGCTTCATATTGAATAGTATCAGCAAAAGTTATTGTGTTACCATGCATGTATCGTGTAGCAGCAAGCTTTGTCGATATAGTTACCGCAATGAGAGTACGTGGCATGGACTGGCATCATATTGATCGACCTGAATTCGCGCTTTAATCGGCGTCGACTCGCTCGCTTGTCAGTTCCCAGAAAGCATCTGTGTACTCCGCTTTTACAGCATAATTGTGGCCTCGCACCATGACATCTGACGAAACTGCATCGTGCTGCATCGTGCCCAGGCGTTAGACTCATTTCGCCATCGCCATGCATCGGTGATGTAGACTCATCAATAGACGCGTTAAGGTGTTCGAGCTTGAAGAGAGTGTACAGAAAGGTGCCAGATATTGTTACAAAGTCGACAATCGAAGATCAAGACAATTCGAAATGACACTAATTAATCAATAAATGAAAATGAATTTTGTGTGTTAGGCATCTTCTAAGAAAAGGATACCAGTGTCTGCCACTTCTGACGAAAATTTAAACTTGGATTTAGTGTTAAAGAAGAAAAAGTATGTGCAAACAAATTTATAAATGCATTAAAAAATCTGTTTTACAGCTTGAATATTAATAACGCAAAAAAATATTTTTTTTCGATTGCATACAATATTAAGATTTTGTACAGCTTTAACCATATGTTTTACTGAATATAATTAACTAAACATTCTTTACCTTATTATTATTAACATAAAATGATACAAAATAATTTTGCATATGAATAATGTATATATTTAAAAAAAGTTACATGAGATTTTATATCTGTTAAATCTCTGTATGTTTTGAAGTGATTAAATAAACAATGTTTAAAACTTTTACTAGAATAGAAATTTTAGTAAAATAAAGAAATAAGGAAAAATTTAACGTGGTACAGGAGAAAATTCTAAAACATTTGTGTTAATTCTAAAACATTTGTGTTAATTCTTATGAAAAAATTACATTATTTGATTTAATTTTTATCAATTCTTTTTTAATTCACATATTTTTTATTAAACAGTAATATTTACCCCAAAAATTTATAATTAGAATATTTTATGTTATAAAATTCACAATCTATTTTAGCAAATAATGTACTCTTTTGATATGTAATTTATCTGATCTTATCTTGATAATGTAATTTAAATGTAAAAGTATTTAAATATTTAATTTACTATTATAGCATGATATTTAAATCACTATTAGCATAATATTTAATATTTAACTCACTATTATCTAACATTAATTTACTGTTATCTACAGAATTATCACGAAATTCCATATTGCTGAGCCTCGTGACTATTTAAACAATTTATTGCGTCATTATCTCATTCAGCTGCTAAATGCCTTAAGTTAAGTACTCAATTATGACAATATGCACGCATATACATTCTCAAATATGCACGCATATACATTTAAAACAGAAAACATAAAAAACACGTAAAATAATAAGAAATTACCAACTAATTTAAAATATTATTTTAACAAAATTTTATGAATTTTTATTTATTAGATATACACATATACATATAATACATATAATAATTTATTATTTTAATATATATAAACATGTACAAAACATATTTATTAAAATATTAATTAAATTATATTAAGTAACAGTAACGAAAAAAACATTTTTTATTAATGCAAAAAAGTCACATTAACAAAATATTCTAATAAATAAATAGAGTAACAACTAATTCACATAATTATTCTAATTACAATTTCACAATCATTACTGTCTTAAAAGCTTACATTAAAATCAATAAAAAATATTTATAAATGATATTCTGACATAAACATCTACATCTACGAATTTTTAAAGATTTGCTTTAAATTTAAATTTTTTTAAGATTGATTTGCGTAATTTCAGCAAGATTATCTGAAATAACGGCCGAATCAACTCGCATTAATCAAGCACTGTTTGATACTTGAGAAAGTCTCTATAACACAAAGCTAGACGAGATATAAAAACATCCGCCGTCAGGATGTGGACAAATCACTTGATAGTGGGTAAGTGCGTCCTCCACGAGCTTTTCATTTAATATTGAAAAACATTTTTCTATATATCTCTCTCAGGAAGAGCATAAAAATAAGCTTCTCATTTGCGCAAGTATTGAAGCATATTTAATGTCTAGTTTCTGTAGTTTAAAATTGAAGAACAACTAAATAATTTTATTGCTTGGAATTTTTAAGACAAAAAATATCATAAGCAAATCTCAAACCATATATTAAAGTTTAGGGTATATTTTTTTGAGTGCAAATTTTTTAAATTGAAGTATAAATAATCGTGATTAATCATACATCAAGACGTCGTTAATTCTGGAAAAGTTTAACTAATAAATTGGTACAACTCTTATTTGCAATTGCTATAAATCTTATTACGAGTCTAGTTCGTAAATGTTACGTATTCGATTAAGCAACACGCGTATGGCCGCTGCTTCAGTGCTGCTAGGTACGTGGACACATACGTACGTAATATCCATGAAAATAATCCACATTTAAAAATAATCTAAAGAACTTTATAAAAGATGGAAATGAATATTATAATATTTCTTAATTACTTATTTAAAAATAATTGTTAAAAAGAATTTATTATAAAAATAATTGTTAAAAAGAATTTATTTTAGAATTTATAATTTAAAATAGATTTTAGAAATTATAATTTTCTATGAATTTTTTATTGAAAAAACGAATTCTTTAGATTTAATCAAATGCGGAAATATATTTTCGGAAAAGTGTGTCAGGCATCTCCCAAGTTTTTTTGTTTATTAATATAAGTACTTTTGATTAGGTATTTTCATCCTATTTTATCCTATTCAATATGAAAAAAACCTACAAAATATATTGTAAAATATAATAACATAATAAATATTTTGCAAATATATTTTAATATTTCTATTTTATTTGTATTTTTATACTTCCACACATCTATCACATTTAATGTTCGATATTTCATATACGAGAAACCTTCCATAGGAAGAACTTATATTTCTCATAAATTATATTGGACTTGATATATATCGAACAATCATCAAAAGTTGTCACGAAAAGAATATTGATTCAATTTATTTACAACGCTATAACGTACTTATAACCATAAATTCGTATTCTATATTAACCAGCAAATTATGAATAAAATCCAATTTTTCCTACTAATTTAAATAATTCCTACACATATATCCTACGGAAGCTTTAACCATTTGCTCTTTTACATTTATTATGCACGCTTATTAAAAGCATGTAAAAGAATAGAACCTGAAAGTTTAATTTCTTTTGCATCGTTCTAGATATATGTTAGATTACACATATATATATATATATATATATATATATATATATATATATATGTGTAATTTTTATTAAAATGTATTAAGATATATCTCTTTCATTATATATATTATATATGAAATCTCTATCTCTTATTATTTCAATCTAATTTTTCAAGATTATTCTATAAACATATAAAACAAAATGTATTTTTCTCTTTTGTGATCGACCAAAAGTGCGATCGAATTTAATCTTTAGAATACAGCACATATTACGCATTATTTATTACGCATTATTTATTACGCATTATTATTCTATACTTTGCTCTATATATTGTATGTTTTGTGTATTCAATTTGTTCCTATACTGTATGAATCATGTCATATTTTATATTCTGTCTTCTCAGTCATTTAGCACTAGAGAGAAATTTTTTATTATATATTAACTCATAAGTTTTATTATATATTAACTCATATAAGTTTTTATTATATATTAACTCATAAGAATAAAAAGCTAGCTTCAAATTATACGATTTAGCAATTCTGGACGTGTCTGCTGCACAATTCTTCTTTGATCAATCGAATGATAGCATTATTAGATAGCACAGCGGTTAACCATCATTAATACCAATACGCTAGAGCCAGTAGTGGTTGTAGTGATAGTCGCAGCCATCGTAGCCTGGCTATATAATAGCGCTATATAATAGTATGGCGATTTATAGATACACATAGATATACATAGATTTATATATACACATATACATCGAATTACTTAAATTGGTAATCTATGTATACACATATACGTATTGCCTAAATGCAATAACCGATCTTTCGTTTTCAGCGTCAATTTTACTCGCAGTTGCCAACGTCTGTCGTGCGAAATGCCAGTGTGAGTGATTAAGACAGCTTACTTTCCTAAGTGTGCCCGTGCCGTGTCGTCAGACTCGTTCGCTAGGGACTAGAGAAGTTCGATGTGTCCGCGCCCAAGTGTCTCTCATCAGAGAATTTAATCCCAAAATATCCTCGTGGGAGTAGCATTCTCCGTCAAAAATTAATCGGCCGAGTTTGTTTTCGCCTAGAACTGGACGAGGAATATGGGAAATTTATTTGTTGCTAAAAATTTGTTACTTGAGGACTATTTTAATAATCGGATGTGTTGAATTTTATTTCCGATAAATTAGAAATAAAATCACAAGTCTCAATCAACATAGTTTAATTATTCTTATCCAATCTCTTATCGAGCACAGCTTCTTTATTGTGCCATGAAAAGCGAACACTGCCTCATATTTATTTTTTAAAGCTTACGCGCGCGCGGGCGCGCGTAAGCTTTAAAAAATCGACATACAAAAAATCTTACATGAGAAGATGTGCACTTGGAAAGCGATGTGTCCGTGGAGTAAAAATCTCTAACCTTTAGATATTTCAATCAGCGAGATGACAAATCGAGATTAAATAATTTATTTAAACTGAATAATTCCTAATCGTGATTTTAAATTTGTTAGCTGATTTAAAATCATTGTTTTTTATTTTTTAGTATTATAACCGCTTATTTAGTGCTAAATATAATTGTTTAGAATAAAGTTTACTACAAATTTATGCATTATATATCGTGTATTATTAATATATATCCTATTTTACAAATATTTGTTATAAATATAATACTAAAAAGCGATATTTAATACTAAACCTGGAGAAAATATATCTATAAATATATCTATAATCAAAATATATCTATAAAAATCTGTAAAAAAATTGAACATTTTTATGAAAAACTGTGGCTGTAGATGAATTATTAAGTTTCGACTTCGTGTACATTCTTTTCCGAGTGCGATAAAGGCGATGTATAATTTCTGAGAATGCCTCTATTCGCAGCTCGCATTGATTGTTACGAGTGCGACTCATGGACGGAGCCTAAATGCAAGGATCCTTTCAACTACACTGCTCTACTCAGGGACCAACCGCCCTTGCTGTCCTGTGAGGGATGCTGCGTAAAAATGGTCCGCTACGAGAAATTATGTAATTGTTAAACTTTTCTATAAAAGATTTGTTCTAGAGAGCATACCATTTTCTATATTAGATTAAATTTTAATTGACTAGATTTCAAGAGATATAATTGAATAGATCTATCAAGAGGAAAATTTAACTAAAGAATCTGACGGATTTTTCACATACTATAAATAATATATAATTATTTTATTATAATAAAAAGTAAAATAAATTTTAAAAACATTAAAGATATATTTTTTATTATATTATCAATTATATGAATATGTTTATGTGAAATCGTGATTATATAAGAAAGAATTTAATGTTTATCATTCTCTTTTGCAGCGTACAAAATCATAAAAAGGACCTGCACCTCGCAACTACAAATGAATTTATTCATGGTGGACCACGTGTGCATGATGGAAAGCGGTCGCGGCACTGGTCACATGTGCTTCTGTGAGGAGAATAAATGCAATCGTGTATCCCCGACCTCGCGCTTAAATCCCGTACTCCTGCTGATCCTGTCGTTTATCCTTGTTCTACGCTCGGCCATCTTAGAAGACTAAGCTTGCTTTATAGAACGTTGCAATGAACACTATTAACTCGATCCATCCATCGCAGTTGCGTCCAATCATATCATTGTGTCCATCCTTCGTAGAGATTCTAGCAAGTCTATAACACGACCACTCATCGGAACGAACGATCGAGTTGGCTTCGATCATGAAGGCTAGACCCTTCGAGATATAAAAGAAAGAAATAGCCAACAGATAGTAAACAGTAGTGGATGATTGACGTTTCGCTGTAGTTATTAAGTTTGTGAACTCACTCTTTCGAACACACGTCATCAATCCATTCACATAATCGCGTGTAGAAATATAAAATATAACATGTATATATAATATATATGTATAATATACATATATATATATAATATATATGTAAACATATATGTATATATAATATATAATATGTATATATATATTATATTTATGATATAAAAATTTTATCAAATTTGCATATCTTGTAATAGATAATAGATGCATAACTGAAAATGCGGATGCTAAGATGAGCTTCATACATATTGAGCAAAAAAGAAAAAAAAATATATATATATATGTTAATTTAACATTATAGTGCATAATAAAATCTTTTATAAGAATACATGAAAAAATAAATATTATTTTTGCTAATAGATCTATTATCCATATATCTGTCTATCTATATATATATAGATAGATAGATAGATAGATAGATAGATATATGGATATATGGATAATAGATCATATCAGCAAAAATAATATTTATTTATGTATTCTTATAACAGATTTTATTATGCATTATAATGTTAAATTAATTTTACATTATATTTTTAGAAAAAAGAATCTGAAAAAAGCTGAAAAGAACTAATATTAATTTGCTTTCTTCGAAACTGGTCGTATTATATAATTGTAATATTAAATTTCATAATATATGATTAACAAAAACAAAACAAGAAATTCAATTTTCTTCAATTATTTGTGATAATTGCACAATTTATGTGCATCGTTCGTTCCGATCATTGGCCTTACAATTAGATAGCATCGAGAATAAGCGTTTCTTGCATAGCAATCATACCGACTGTCCAATCTATTTCTCTGACGAGTTTCAGTCCTTTGTTAGTTGCTCTTTGAGCAGGCACGCATTTTTGCAATGCATTCGTGATATAAGCTCTGAGGAAAGAATTTTATTAAAAAAAAGAGTATATAAAATAAATGCCTAAAATATAAAATATTGAATATACATAATACATCTCTATTGAATATTGAATATTAAATAAGCTTTTTGAATGATAGATCTAAATTACGTTTGTAATATAAAACGCAGATAATAATTTATTAGAGAAAGTATTTTCGATTTTTACAATAATTTTCTGATATATAGCATATTACTCCGAGTTATTTATCTACATAAATTATGTAACTTTGCATTTTTTCCCTATTTAAAGTAAATATTTTTAATGCTTTATATATTTAACTATCATAATGTACTATAAATTTTAATTATATTGCTCAATTTTAGAGTTAAGAAAAAGCATCCTATTTATAAATTAACAAGTAAAATCGAAAGATTGAAAAAATTATCATCAATATTCGCTCAAATTGAACTCCTTCTTCGGCGTTATTGTTGCATGTATTCAACCATCGTCTGAGAACATCGATGATGGATTAAACATTTATCCTAATAGTACTATTACTGAGAGAAAAGCCAATGTTGATACTCTTTTCGATTTTTTATCACAAGAATGCATCCATTGTATTGTTTTTCTCATTCTAATGCGACAATGTTCGACGCGACTAGTCGAGTTGCATACAATGCGAGAACTTATTGAAGACCACAATATAATTGCACGACATTAAATGCCGATCTATAATAAGATATAGAATTTACAAAAATATTTGCATGAGAATATCAAGAAATTTTTAATTTTTAAATAAAATTAGAGAAATGAGTTAAAAGATTATTAATTTAAAATTTATGATTTTTTTTTCATGCAATGATGCAAATTATATATATATATATATATATATATATATATATATATATTTTTTTTTTTTTTTTTTGTTTGAGAAACAAATTACTATAATTCTTCAAGATCTAAAATTAGAATTTTAATGATAAATGCATATAAAACAGAGAAAGAAAATGAATAGACATTTTTTCGAATTATATTTCTATGTTTATGTTGCTTTATACTTCCATAATTTTTTGCTATCTATTTAATAAATTTAGTAATACACAGAGTTTACATCGTATGTACAATATGTTAATCCTTAAATAATTATTACATAGTGATAATGATGATATTGTAAAGAAAAACGGCGCTCATTTAAGCAAATTTAATCAATTAATCAAAAGCTTCCACGATTCCACAATTACAATTCTCACTCATTATTCTTCACAACGTCTTTCTCTCTCTTTCTCTCTTTATCACAGAGCCTGATTAATTATAATTCCTATGCACTCTTCTCTCGTTCTTTTCATTCTTCAACAGCATACTTTCTTGTACTTTGCCCGTTCGTTATTCTAATAAGACATCCTCATACTCAATATGACGAGAAAACATTGAGTCTATGATAGAAGGCGGGCTTGTATTATAGAAAGACTACTTTAGATAGCATGGTTACCGCATGCACATCCAATAGACAGTACCGACAGATGCAGAAAGAATTGACCGAGACGAGCGACGAGGATGACATTTTTGAATTTGAATTTGAAATTATCAAAATATATATATGCGCACGTTTTTTGAAACAGGACTAAGTCTCCTAAAAAAGTGTTCTGTCTAAAAAATCTTAAACAATTTCTAATTCATCGAGACATATAAAAATATAAATTATAAAGTTCAGAAAGTTAAAATTTCAACACTGCTACTCAAAATTTCGAGTTTTAATTCTAAAAATTTAAGAATTGTATCAAGAATATAACAGTTGGAATTTAAAACTTTGACTACTTAAAGAGTCTAGAAATTTCAAAAATAAAAGCAAAATTTTAACAATATAAAAATTTTTTAAATCTTCTAAAAACGGGCGCACACTCAAGGATATAAATCAATATACCCTTTTATAGATATAGATGAAATTACAATTAGAAGAAATATCATGTTATAGACGAAAATGAAATTAAGTGCATGCATTGTAGCATTCACAAGGCTGTACGAATTATGGAAAGTCAGCGCAGAAAAATTTTATTTTTAATCGTAATAGCTTTAATCATAAACCTGAATCTATTAGATTTGCACATAGTAAAAATTAATATAGAAGTTATTTCCAACGATCCTTTAATATAGAAGATTTCATGTGTATATATATGTAATACGTTTTTGGGAAAAGATCGAGAATAGCCATATATAAAAAAAAAAAGAAAAAGAAAAAGGAAAAAGTTACTCGAATCACATTATATAATTGATTTCTTCTCTTTTAAGCAAAGATTCTTCTTTCTCAATTTCATATAAAAATGTCATTTTAATATATTTGTAGGATGTAATGCTTTATAAAATAACTTAATTGTTTAAATAACTGTTTTCATTACTATTTTAGAAAAAAAATATATACAAATATAATTAACTATTTAAATATTATCTAGAGTGCAGGGAACAATTCTGACGCGTTCGACTTTCAAATAACCGCACAGCAACATCTTGCATGAGATTGCATGATCCCGTTATTATTTTTGTGTGTGAACGAGTATGTTCCACTTTCAAAGTCAATGGTCGAAAATGAACAGCATTTATGCATTAAATTCTTAATCTTATTACTATATATGTGCATTATCAAATTTTATACGAGTTATATAGGCGATCAGTAAAATCTAAAAGATTTAAAATTCTCTTCACGCTCATGCAAATCCAAAAGGAACATACTGCTGTTTCTTTCTACCTATGACTCTAAATGCAATAACAACAAAAACAAAAACAGCAAAAATAATAACAACAATTATAACAACTAATTAACCTACGATACCTTCCACTCCGACGAATGCAACGCAAAACAGACAAAAAGCAAAGTACAATGTGGGCCTTCAGCTTCGTTTATGCCGCAATTAAGCTTCTGATAAAAATCATATTCAATTGCTAAATCAAATTTAATCTTATTCGATTAGAATCTCAATAAAGAAAACTGTTGAATCATCGATTCATGACATTTTAATCTAATACATTGATTATATAAACTTTATTTATATATAATATATATAATATTATTCAAAATTTCTTTTATAATAATATTATAATAATTTTATTTTTAAACGGCATGCAAATCACAGTCATGACAAGTCATCTCTTCATAGTTAAAAATATTATGCAAAAGTGAGTGCAAAAAAAATGAGTGAAAAAAAATTATTTAAATATTATTTATTTCAATATCAATTTATTTAAATATTACCAATTCCTACTTGATGATGGTGTAATCGTCGCCTCTGCCAAATGCAACGATTGATCGACAAAATCGCTCGAAACTGGCAAGGCCAAGCTGAATGCGCATGTCCTCACAGAGAGGCTTTCGAAGCGGAGCTTCTTGCCAAATAAGTTTCGATGCTTGCTTGACCTATGGCAAGCAGACCAATGTTTCTCTGGCAAGCCATGCGGCTCGTGTCGCGTCATTTGTTCATTGTCGCACGCGCGGCTGCGAGGCTACCCATTTACATTTCTATCGTGATTTATGTTCTTATATCTCTCCTCTAACCATTTAGGTTTCATCTGTACCTTCAATTAATTTCATCCAGTATTCTTTAATCTCTCAATCTAAGGCGATTTGTTTTATATGTTAGATATAAGCGCCCTTTGCGCGAGAAAACTGCTCGAGTTAAATTATGCTAATTATATTTGATTTTCAATAGCTATCTCACAAATTAATATTGTTCTTATCTTATGAAAATGGGTTTTCTTGATTTAACCAAAAATTGTTACATAATAATTCAAACTTATTTGTATCTATAAGTATATTTATTTATGTATTGATAAGAATGTTTCTTACACATAATATAAATATCACTATTTATATACATCTTATCGCAAAATTAAAAATTATACTTAATTAAGCTTTACTTAATTAAAATATTGTCATTTAGTTTACTAATTCTTCCTTGAATAATTATAATAGTCTTCTAATCTAAAACATACATGAGACTTCCTAAAAATCCATATATATGTATATCAAATTTTAAAATAATTTTCTAATTCAGAATCCAGCTAGTTATCTCTGATTAGCACTTTTTTATCATTCTATCATAATTATAAATATGTTTAAAAAAAATTGAAAAACTGATAAGTATTAAAAAACAAACAAATAAAAAGAACATGATCTCGTTTCGCAACAAAAATTTCGATCAAATTTTCGCTTACTAATAAT